TCCGTGAAAATGTTCGTGTACAAGCATCAAGGTATGAAATGGAATTTTTTCGTTTTTTTTTCTATTCATAAATTACACAATTGTTCTACAAATATTTAGATGCATGGAATGCGGTGTACCATTCTGTCAATCACAACATGGTTGTCCATTAGGAAATATTATACCACGATGGAATGATCTTGTCCATAAAAATGATTGGTATGAAGCTTTGAAACAATTATTACAGACAAACAATTTCCCCGAATTTACTGGCCGTGTATGTCCAGCACCATGTGAAGGTTCTTGTACATTGGGCATTATTGATAGCCCAGTTGCAATCAAAACAATCGAAGTATCGATTATTGAATATGCATTTGAACAAGGTTGGATTAGATCTAATTCACCTAAACATCGTTCCGGTAAAAAAGTTGCCATCATTGGTTCTGGTCCTGCTGGTCTGGCTTGTGCTGATCAATTGAATAAAGCTGGCCATACTGTTTGTGTTTACGAACGACAAGATCGTATTGGCGGTCTTCTTCAATATGGAATTCCAACAATGAAACTTTCCAAAAAAGTCTTACAACGACGAATTGATCTAATGACTGAAGCTGGTATAATGTTCAAACCGAGTACAAATGTTGGTATCGATATCACTGGACAACAATTGCTTGAACAATATGATGCTATTTGTTTGACTACAGGAGCAACATGGCCACGTGATCTTCGAATCTCTGGCCGTGAATTGAATGGAATATATTTTGCTGTCGATTATCTACGAAGTAGTCAACAAAAATTATGGGAAAATTCATTCGATCATCCAATTACGGCAAAAGATAAAAATGTCATTGTTATTGGCGGTGGTGATACTGGTTGCGATTGTATTGGAACAGCTCTACGTCAGGTTTGTTTTCATTTATTTTGTGTATTTTCAATTGATTCTAGTTTGGAATTTGTGTCGATTGAATATAGGGAGCTAAAAATGTTGTCGCATTTGAGATATTACCGAAACCACCGAAAGATCGTTCTGGAGATAATCCATGGCCACAATGGCCTAAAATTTATCGTATCGATTATGGCCATGAAGAAGCTAAATTACGATGGAATGATGATCCACGTATCTATGAAATTTCAAGTAAAAAATTTATTGGTGATGAAAATGGTAATGTTAGCGGTATTGATACCGTACGTGTTAATTGGACCAAAAACGAGAAAGGCGGCTGGGTTATGAATGAAGTTGTGGGTACAGAATTAACATTCAAAGTAAGTAAATTGAATTCTGTTGAATGCAATCGCTGATGTTTTGTTTTTCAAATAGGCTGATCTTGTGCTATTGGCTATGGGTTTCCTAGGACCCGAATCAACAATCATTGAACAACTAAATCTAACAAAAGATAATCGTTCAAATATATTGACCAAACCAAATTCATATCGTACACCAATTGAACGTATATATTCAGCTGGCGATTGTCGCCGTGGACAATCATTGGTAGTACATGCCATACATGAAGGTCGTCAAGCTGCATGTGAAATTGATACAGATTTTAGTGAAAAATTCAATAAATCTGGTCTACCTGGTCCTGGTGGTATAATACCATATGAACAATGTGTGGTTGCCCATTGAATTGCAAGCAAAAAGTAAAAAAAAGAAACAAAACGAAACGAAACAAAAAAAAGGCAATCTAAAATTTGAAAAATTGAAATCAATCAAAACAAACAAACAATACAAAAATTGGAACCATACAGAATGAAAAAAATAACCAAATAAATCATCCGAAAAAAATCCGGAATGTAGTTCATCATTCAGTTTTTAAATAAAAAAAAATGAATCGATTCTAGGACTAGATAAATTTCCATTCTTTTTTACTTTGAGTGTTTTTGTTGACAATCTCGTGTGTGTGTGTGTGTGTTTGTGTGTGCGTGTTTAAAAGTTTGTTTACAAATTTCTTATTAATTATCAAATAAAATAATGAGCAAAACAATATTCTTACCTGAATACCTGTGAATTTTTTGTTTTTGATTTTTCTCTTACCCGATTTGTCCACGAAAAAAAAGCAGCAAATAAAAGAAAACAAAAAACAAACAGCAAAAGAATGAGAAAATAATTTTCCTTCTGATAAAAATTGAAATTAAAATTTCCCTTATTGATACACAACAAATGATAAGATTTTTTTTTGCCATTGAAAAAACAATCAATCAATCAATCAATCAATTTGTTTTTGTTTCAAAATGTTTTATTATTATCATTAAAATAAATGTCAACAAATTTTTGTCGTTTTTTGTTCCATTTTTGTCATTTGTTTTCTCTAATTCTAATTGTTTGTAATCATTATTTGTTGTTGTTGTTGTCGCTGTTGTCGTTTTTTTTTTTTTACTGAGTTATTTGTTGTTTGTTGAGAAAAAACATTTTCAATTCATAATAAACAACAATCGATGTAATGTTGATTTGATTTATAATTTGAGATTTTAAACCATAACGATAACGAATAAATGGCCATTGCCAATTGTTTCATTGGTATTTGATTTCAATCTGAAATTTTTTTTTCATCCATCCATCCATCCATCCATCCATCCAGCAGAAAGAAAAAAAGATTTCCAATTTTACAATGAAAAATTCTCACCATCTAATATTTTTCTTGTCATGTCAAAATGTTGTCGTCGTCGTTGTTGTTGTTGTTGTTGTTTTTTTTCAAACTTTTTCTTTTCGTTTGTTTGTTTATTTATTTATTTTGCAATTATTTTTCCACTACTGCTACTGAATTCTAGCAGTCACGAAATCCAAAATCGTCGGGTGGGTTTGCCTATATCACATGTTGTTGTTTGAAGAAAATTAATTTTCTTTTCTCTCGTTTTCATTTTCGACAAAAAAAAGCTTGATGATCAACAACAGTCATTTTTAGCCATAAGTTTTGCTATTGTTGTTGTTGTTTTTTTTTTGTTTTTTGTTTTGTTTGTTATTGATGTTTTTCAGCTAAATGATGTTCCATTTTCAAGAACTTTGGTATCATTAAATACGCACATACAGTGTTTGTGTGTGTGTATCATTGATTATTGGATGATAATTTGACTTTGTGGATGTATAGAAAACTTTATTTATTCATTCACAATGACGTAGTATTTGTATATTTTATGTAGCTAAAAATAAACAACAAATAAATGAAAAAAAAATAATTGAAACCCTTTCGTTTTGGTTTTGATTTTTTTTTCGCTTTGCTTGAATATCTCGGATCAAATTAACTAGGAAATTTCGAAACTCAAAATCAAATCAGTAGCAAAATAGCAGAAAAAAACAACAATAATAATAATGGGAAAGAATTCTGCTCTATATATTGGCTTTTGATTTTTTTTTTTTTTTTTTAGTTTGTTTTGGATGCAATTCTGCAGTATCATTAATTTGGAAATATTTTCAATAAGAATATTCTGAAAAATGAACCAAAAAAAATGTTCAGAAATTAAAATAGACAGAATAAGACTACAGTATTGTGTTTGATGATGTGAAAATAAAAACAAAAAATCAAAACAACAAGTGACCACTAGAATTGCCTATGAAAAAAAGATTGATATGGTTCTTTTTTTTCATTTTATTATTAGAATTGATTGAAAATTGTTCAATGTCTGAACAAAAAAAAAAGAAAGAAAACCTAATTTATTTGCAACCTGGGACCAGAACCAATGAACATCATCACTAGATGTTTGTTGCTATATATAGCCAGAGATGACTTGTTTTGATTTTTGTTTTTTCTTGCATTAAATTCTCACTTTTTTTTTGTTACGCAATAAAATCATCATCATCATCATCATATTTATTAATATTAATGAATGAACACACAGAAAAAAAATATACAAAGTAAATAAATGAAAAAAAATCAAGAGAGATGCACGGATGAAAATGCAAAGGAAAAAAAACATTTCATATATATATATATCAATTATAAATCGACAACAAATTTTGGAAATGAAAAACTTGTAGCAAAAAAAAATGATTTCTTTTTTTTTCTCTTGACCAGTCAAGCGAAAACTCAAATTTTATGGCTATTAGTTTGATATGTAATCGAGCAAATTTTACCATTACGAATAATTCTTAGAATCTCATCACATTCGATCACATGTGAATCAACCAAATTTTTTTTATTATTATTATTATATACCATACCCATTACCATTGTGATGAAAACATTTTAACGGATAATTTATTATTTCCATCTAAATGATCAAAAAAAAATGTTTTCAAATGGAAACAATGAAAAATCTAGTGAATTTCAATTGAGAAATTTTTTTTTTAAATTTAATTCATATATTTATTATTGTGTAAATTTGCGTTTGTATTAGAGTATATATTAGATGCTATGATGATGATTATTGAATGACGTATTAATCGCTTTTTTGTTCCAAATTTCGGAATGATTATTATTATCATATATTCAATATTCATATATCATATGTATGTCAAATGTAATAATCGTTTTTTTTTTATTTTGATGTACTAATTCACCACACCAGATAGCGCGTCATAGGTACCGAATGATTGGATTGAATATTTTTATAATGTAATGCGATGTGTAAAATTAAAAAAAAAATGTTGACAAATTTTTTTTCATCATTTGTAATTTGATTGTGATGATTTGTTATATATATTGGATATATATTAATAATATCTGAAAGGAATGTAAAATATTTTTGTCGTTTTTTTGGACAGGAATGTTGTGTGTGTGTGTGTGTAATACATGCAATTATTCTGGTTATTTGTATGTGATATAATTCATTATTAAATAATTTATAATAATTATAAATTTCATGTAATAATAAAGAATTTTTTTTTGTCTGGAATTGCAAAAAGTTTTACAAAGCCAAATTTTATTCTTGTTTATCCATATATTATATATTTTATTATTACTGATTTCACTGTTTGCCTTTGTAGGATTTGTTTTGCTTTATTTTTATTTTTTTTTTTGTTTTTTTTTTTTTTTTGGTTTTCTGGTTTTTGTTTTCATCTAATTTGATTAATTTCATTTTTTTTTTTTTTGTTTTTTTTTTTTTTTTTTTTTTTTTGGTTCATGGACGACAAAATACAAATTCATTATAATGATTCCATCGTGTTTCTTCTGCATCAATACCAGGTTTAACTGGTTCATTTGCTGGTGTACTTGATGTACCGGAACCACATGAACCGACCATACGAAAACCGGATTCCTGTAAAAAATCGAATGCCTGTTCAAGACATAAATGTTTGAGAAAAAATCTAGCCGTATAACGATTGTCATCGTCACAATGATCAGGATCACGTGATTCATTCAATGTATCACCAAAAATCTCACGACATAAGGCCACACGGCCAGATACAAGAATTTTTGTTAATTTTCGAAATTTAACATCAGCTAATCCATCACGACCAAATGCAAATGAACCACGATAACCGACTGTTATGTAGCCAGGACCACCAGTTCCTTTAACAATACCATAACCACCATGGCTACTACCATTATTATTGGTTAATATTGGTGAACGTGGCATCGGTGAAATCAATGCTTTAGCTAAATCATCAAGACCATAATATTCGGCTTCCATACGTAATAATCGATGTTCCATAAAATGTTCAGGCAATGTAACCATTCCTTTATTACGTAAATAATTTAATATATGACGAAATAGGCAACCATCACGATCTATCACGTATCGTCCCTATAATTTTTTTTTTTTTTTTTTTGAAAATAATTCCACAATGCCCCCAAAAAAAACAGAAAAAAAATCAGAACAAACAAAAATAAAAAGAAAAAGAAAGAGAATATAATATCAAGATAATAAGTCATTGATTGAGTAGATTTTCAACTACAAAAACAACAACAACAACAACAACACAGAGAATTCGATGAACAAAGTTTTTTCCTGTTGTTGTTAAAACGCCTACACTGCCAAACACACACACACTTAATTTACATCGTTTTTCTTGTGGTTTGTCGTTTTTTTTCTGAAATTTTTTTTTTGGTTCATTTTACGGGAAAGGTGTGTGTGTGTGTTTTGCTCAGATTCTTTAATAACTCGATCATTAACCAGTATTTGTTGGTGTATAAAAGTTATTTGTTTGTTTGTTTGTTTGTTTGTTTACAATGTCAAATATCAACGGATATGAAACATTTGGGAGAAAAAAAAGATAAGTTTGAAAAGAAAATTTCTCTCTCTTTCTCTCACTAATCATGAACAGAATAATAGCAGTAACGAAAAAAAAGAAAACAAAAATTAAATTCTTGTTCAACGAAAATGTGATTTATGATAAGAAAAAACAAGAATAAAAATAAGAAGAAAAAGAATTCAAGATGCATGCATGAATTGAATTTACTTACAAACACGCACACATACTTCTTTCATTCATTCAATTTACTAAGGGTTTTTTTCGGATCTACGAGACCTTGGTTTTTTTTCATTCTTTATCAATGATCATTTTGCATCATCATCATCTAGGTTCAACATTATGGTTGGGTTTTTTTCTAATAGTGAAACTTACTGACTGACTGACTGACTGATTTCCGTTAGTATAACGGAATTTTTTTTTATTCAATTTTCTTCTCTTCTTCTTCTTCTTCTTCGTTGTCTTGTATCTATAACGTGTTTAGAATATCACTGGCAAAAAAAAAAAAATTTTTTTTTGGTTAACACCAACAACTAAAAAATGGAGAGAATAAGCTGAATTAGTAAGGCAAAATTTTTTGAACTAAATCTGTGTTGAAAAACTGAAGAATTCAGAAAATTCTACTGGGAATTGAATTGTGAAAGAAAAAAATGGTTAGCTATAAAAAAAACTAGCAGATTTAAGTTTTGAAATTTTTCTTCATTTTTTTTTATTATTGAATCAATTAATAATCCGATAATGGCCATAAGAGTTGTTGTTGTTGTTGTTGTTGTTGTTGGTCAGTCAATGTTGAAGTATCAGCATTGTTATCAATTCTGTAAGTACTAGGCAAAAACACACACACACACAGAGACAGACAGACAGACATTATGTAGAAAGAATGATGAGCAATTCTGAATAAAATCAAGAATTGTTGAATTAATAATTTTTGTCACGTCATACGCGAAAAAAATAAACATCAACAAATAATAATAATAATATTTAATAATCATCATTCTGAATAAATAAATAAACAAACAAACAGACAAACAAACCGAAGAAAATTCTCGATTCTTTTTTCTGTTTTGTTTCTAATTTTGAATGTAATAATCATTTCACACACACACACACACACACACATATTGTAAAATGAGAATGTTTCATTTGTTTTTTTTTTTTTTGGCTGAAAGAATCTGACTATTATTATCTGGTGCTAATTTTTTTTTTTTTTTTTGGTTTTCTTTGTGTTTTCATTAATAATCATCAAGGTGTTGGTTTTTTTTTTCTTGATCATCATCAAGATGATGATTATGATGATCATTACCATGATGTTGATGACGCAGAAAACATGAATCTACAAGCTGTGTGTTTGTGTGTGTGTGTGTGTGTGGGTGGGTGGGTGTGTGTTGACATTTTTTTCTTTCTTTTGTGGCTTTATAAACAAACACATTTATGACCAAGGAAAAAAAATATTCCATTAATTTTGATATGACATAAACATACACACACACACATAATAATGATGATAGAATATTCTTTCTTCATCGTTATTTTTTTTGTTCACTGATTTCATAAATAATAACACCTAGAATTTTCTTTTGTATGCAGATGATCATATAATAATAATCATCATCATCATCATTTATTACCTTGGAATCTTTACTGATTACATCATTTGTATCGAATGTTGTTGCTGTTGCTGTTGTTGTTGCCGTTGTTGTTGTTGTCGATGTGGATGATGTTGATGATGATAATGATGTTGTTGTTGTTGATGTTGATATTGGTGGTGGTGGTTGTTGTTGTTGTTGTTATGTTTTGTATGGATTTCATTCTTGTCGTATCATTATTATTATTATTATTTTCATTTGTGGCTGTTTGTATACGAAACCATGTTGCTAAACGTGATTCCGGTATAAATAATAATGTTTCCCTTTGTGTGGTATATTTTTGACCACCAACATTCAGATATATTGTATCAAGGTTCATTGTTGTTGTTGTTGTTGTTGTTGATTTTCTTGACAATTTAATTTTCTAATATAAAAAAAAAATTATAATCAGACTTGAAATTTCCGGTCGTAATGGCCGTTTTTGTTGTTGTTGTTGTTGTTGTTGGAATTTTGTGTTTTAATTTCGTTACGTTTTTTTTTCTATTTTTTGTTGGATTAGATTTCTTAATACCATGTTCCAATGTTCCACGTTGTCTTTTTTTTTCTTCACGTTTGGGCGTTCTTTTTTTCCTGTTCTGATTATAACTGATAATGATGAAAAATGTTTGTCACACACACACACACACACACAAACAAGCAGATGAATTAGGTGTGAAAAGAAAAATATTATGCACTTGTGTGTGTGTGTGTATGTTTGGATCGGTTTTTGGATTGAATTATTAACGTTGATCACGAAGACTTGCTATTTGTTTTTTTTTCTTCAATTATTAATCATTTTTTTTCAAACGAAGGATGGAAAATTTCATTGACCAAAGGTCAAGATGTTTGTTGTTGTGGTTGATGATGATGATTTTGTCGTTGACACTTGTTTTTTTTTTTGAATTATGTGTGTTGTAAAATGAATTTTTATTTTCTTTGATTTGAATATTCGTTTCTATTAGTTGGTTTCATGTGATTTTCTCATTTCTGTGAAATGTGAAAATGATTAAAAAAAAAAAAAAACAGCCAACAAAAAAAAACTAAAGAGAGAAAAGATTTGTTTTTTCTATTCTCACACCATTTCTTTTTTATCTCACTTTTATGGATGTGTTAAATGTTTGGCGCTTAAATATCGAATGCAAGACATTTGCTTGTATGCGTGTGTGTGTGTGTGTATGAAGTCTGCATCTGAAACAACAACAACAACAAAAACGAAAGAATAAATGTTTTTAAATGATTTGTGCGTGTGTGTGTGTGTGTGTGTGTGTGTGTGTGTGTGTGTGTGTGTGTGTGTGTGTGTGTTCATGTACTATGTATATGATGTGGCATCCATTTCGTTTTGTTTCGTCTACATTTTATTGTACGATTCGACTCAACGATTCTGGTTTTTTTTTCTTTGGTCAGAATAATGTACAACGGTGTCAAAGCAAAGAATTGTATACATTGAAATGAAGAGAACGAGAGAGTGAGAATGAGTGTGAGATAAATAAAAAAAAATGAGGCTATTAGATTCTCTGGGTTTTGATTTTCTCTTTTTTTGGATCACACACACACACACACACACAAAAGAATATTCTCTCTCTCTCATTCTATGTATATGTATGTTTAGATGGATAGATAGACAACAGATGCGTTTCTTTGAAAAGAAAAATAAAGAATTTCATGAAGCGGTTTAAAATATATCCATTGCATAATATATATATACAGTATAGATATGTGTGTGATTCCTGATTGTTGTTGTTGTTGTGGTGGTGGTGGCGGTAGTAGGTGTAATATTACTTCCAAGGGTTCCAAAATTTTGTTGTTGTTGTTGTTGTTGTTGATATTTGTTTATTTTGTTGTTGTTGTTGTTGTTGTTGATATTTGTTTATTTTGTTGATATCAATGACGTTTATAATTATGGGTGTTGTCAATTACACAATAATAGTAGTGGTATGAGAATAATATAGAGGTAGATATATTCTTTATATATTCCACACAATCTAGGAAAAGTAAATAAATATAAACAGAATTGATGGCTATTAAAAGATGACTTTTTTCTTTTTATTTTTTTTATTTTTGGTATATATATCATGAGGACCATGGATATTGGGTGCAAAAAATAAAAAAACACACACCAGACACACACACACACACACACACACACACATATATATATTTTTGAGACCTAGACTGGAAGTTTGTGAATGATTCAATCTCTATACAGTGGAATGTCGGTGTGTGTGTGTAACGTTAAAAATGATAGTGTGAAGAAGAAATTTATCTCATTTTTGAAATTTTTTTTTTCTTTCATTCAACGTGTGTGTGTGTGTGTGTGTAAATATATCATATACCAGAAATCAATGATGATGAGGTATTTTGGTATGATATAATAATAAGAAAATGAAAACAAATGTTAAGATTTATTTTAAAATTTGAAAATAGATTACAACCACTACCACAGATTATTCTGCACTAACTGTATGATATTTTTTTTCATATTTCATATTTTTTTGCAGCCAATTTTTTTTTTACTGTTCACTTCAAAATACAGGTTTTTTTTTCTTTCGAATCGAACCATTCAGATCCTTTATATTGATTATGGCTATGATGATGATGATGATGATGATATGAGGATCTATGATCATTTGTTTTATTTTGAATGCTACAAACATACATGTTGTGGCAAATAACGATCAATAATTTTGACTTTTTTTTCCAGTGATCGATTTATTGGATAGATAAAAAAAAGGGTGTATGGTGTGTGATGTATGTGTTGTGTGTGTGTGTGTGTGTTGATTTTATTATGGCTTGGAACATTTTTTTCTATTTCATTTAATTTCTGGTTGCTAGTTTTTGATATCTTTTGTTGAACAGAGTTTATGTTTTTTTTTTGATTTGATTTGATTTTTTTTGCATCATTTTGCATCAAAAAAAACCAGCCTGTGCGCGTGGCTATTGTAAAGTGTTTGGATTTTGTTTCTCTAGGTTTTTTTTTGTTTGATCAAATAAAATTTTGGCCGTTTCAATGTGACACAGAATTTTTTTTTTTGGAAATTTGAAACTTGTAGAAATTTGTTCCGGCTATTTTGTCCTAGATTTATTGTTGTTTCATTGAATGTTTATGATTTTGATAAGAGTGAAACAAATTATTTGTACATTCAGCTACTTTATTTTTTTTTTTGCCGGTTTTTTCTTGTTTTGTTTTGTTTGTCGTTGGTCAGTTCAATATTCATTAATAATGAAACAATATTCTTGAAATGTTTCATGTTGAGATGTTTATTATTATTTTTATTCAGAATAAATGAGAATTCCTGAATAAGAATAATAACAACAACAACAACAACAAATAATAACAAAAATGAATAAATTCTTTTGCTTTTACAATTTTTCTTAATGAAAAATATTCAGGTTGGAATTTTGTTTTGTTATTTTTTTTTTGTCATTGGTTGTCATGTCATACAAAAATAACAACAACAACAACAACAACAAAACGAATAAAATGACGAATAAAAAGGTTTGATATTGGAAAACACATTATTGATCATCAAAAAATGTGTGTGTGTGGGAAGAAACAAAACAAACAACAACAACAACAACAACAAAAACAACAACAACAACAAAAATATCATTGAAAATCATTCGAGCAAATCATCAATGTGTATAATAACAGTCAAACAATATACACGTACACACAGACATACAGACACACACACATTCTAGTGTGATACAATTCTTTTTTTTTTTTTTTGTGGAGAAATGTTTCATCTCTCTAGATGCTGCCTTTGTAATGTAAATTTCTGAATTTTTTTTTCATCATTATCGGACAACTACAAAAACAAAAATATTTCATTTTCATCATTTATCATCATTTTCAATCGATAATGATGATGATGATCAGAAAAAAAATAAATAAAATGGGAGAAAAACACACACACACACACAAACAAACAAATCAAATTATAAATTCATTATTAGCCTTGATATTTTAACGAAGAAAAAAAATTTTTTTGTTTTTGCAATTTTCTTGCGTGTGCAAATTATTATTTTTTTTTTTCATCAACACCCAGAAAATGGTAATGATGACTGATGATGATCATAATATTGATATGAATATTTTTTTTTCTTATTTTGAAAAATAAAACCATTGATGATGATGATGATGATGATGATTAGAAACATTGATAATAAAGCCAAATGTTTTCGTGTGTGTGTGTGTGTGTGTGTGTGTGTGTGTTTGTAATTATTGTAAGCAACCATCAGCCATTTTAGAAACATTGAATTTTTGATGATGATTTCAATGAATATTTTCAATCAAATGTAAACTGTTGGATGGATAGCAGAGAAAAAAAAACCAGCAATAATTCATCGGAAATCAATGCCATGGCCATGATGATGACCAAAAAATAAAAATAAAAAAAAATTATCATCAACATCGACAACAAAAACAAGATCGCATCACATGATGGATAATGATGATGAACACACACACGCACACACACAGAGAGAGAGAGAAAAGCAGTTTTATTTTTATCTCATTGCTCTATTCATGTTGTTGATGATGTTCAAGTTTTTTTTTATCAACAAATAAACAGATTATGTAAAAAGAAAACAAAAACAAAAATAAAATCATTGGCAAAAGCTCATTAAAATGAATAAATCAAATAGAAAAAAAAATATATATGATCAATCAACGATAAAAATGATGAAAATGTACACACACACAGAAACAAACAGAATTTCATCATATGCCATGATCTTTTTCTTTTTTTTCACATTCATTAATTTATTATTTGATAACAGTATTTATTCTGCAATTTCTTCTCTTGCATATGAATGAATGAATGATTGATATATTTGAAATATAAAATAGTGTCAAATGTCAACCCATATATTCCATTATAAGGTAATTTAGCTGCTGATGATTTATCATTCCGGAAACAAATGAAGAAAGAGAGTGAATTTTTTTTTTTTTTTTTTGGAAATAAAATTCCATAATTAATTTTGCTGAATGTTAGAGACATGGAGCAAAATTACCATGAAGAACTAGTAGAATTAAAACACAACAATGGAAACATGAAATATTTTTTTTTTTCATATATTCCCAATACGATAATCAATAATCAATAATAATTGTAAACTGTAATAAGAAATGAACGGTATAGCAAAAAAAAAAACAATGACTGAAGACATTTGACATTTTTTTTTTTTTTTTGGAATTTGGTCCAGGAAAAGTTTTTGATGATTATGATATCTTTACAATTTCAATATTATGTTTGTGTGTGTGTTTATCGTGTATTTGTCATTGTTATTTTGTCGTTGTTATTTCTTGTCATTTTTTTTTCATTTGAAAATGTCAAAAAAAAAATAATAATAATATTCTGTCGGCCTCTTTAATTGCAATTTGCATCATCAACATTGTTGGACCACAACAACAATGACAGAAAAAAAAATACGACAAAGACAGTGTCAAGAGAGAAAATATGTCATTTTGTTTCTGATCTTCATTTTGACAATCGATATTATTTCCGTATAGAGAGAAAAAAAACAACAACAACAACAACAAAATATGTGACAATGACATATGAAATATAGATGCTGTTGTAGTAGTAATTTTAGTAGTAGTGGTGGTGGTGATGATGATG